TAAGTAAGTAAGTAGTAGTAGTAGTAGTAGTATATATATATATATATATATATATATATATATATATATATATATATATATATATATATATATATATATAAGTCTATGGACAAGTTTTGGGTTGGAGCTGAAGTTTTTGTCACTAACCACCGGAGGTAAATTCATGTGCCGATGCTTGTTAGCCATGATGATATAGGGCCTTAAATTTGTGGATGAAAGATAATAAGTCGACAACCAAATCATGCCTATTAGTAATGATATCAACTCATGCTTGGTTCTTCTCACCAGTGCAAATAATTTGAAATGATTAAATGTACAATAGCTGGTGAGAAGCAAGACCATATTATTCTCCCTTCATTTTCATGTAGATACGGGACATTTGAATATCATCTTGGCTATCATGTGTTGGATATCTATCACTATATTTTCAAACAAAATGGTGCAGGGCAAAGTCCTCATCTTCATCAATCTAGTGGTTTTATTCTAAGAGTGTCTTTTTATAACAAATCATGATGAGACGGGGCCTAGTACTATTATTAATCAAATTTGTGGTTCAAATACTTTAGAGAATAAGGAAAACCATGTGAAACTTCATATACAATTTTTTATTTGTAGTTTTAATGATTTGACAAACTCAGGGACCTAATGAAGGAACCTGGTTCTTGGCTCAATGTGCTTTTTTGCTGCCAGTTGGAGAAAGTACAAAAAGTTGATGCACAGTCTCCAACAGTGGCAGAAGTGGCAAACGCTCCAGCAACCTCAGCCAATGGGATTGTTTTATGTTTTGTGACCTTTCTACATAAACAAAACATCCCTATATTAACAATTAGTTTTTGCAACTTGAAACATCTCAAGAACTCTTGCAGAGGGTTACAGAAGGAGTGAAGAAGCATCATCAAGATCAACTCAAATCTGAAAGAGCTGGAAGCTTAGTTGTCTTAGGATTATTTCTTCTGCATGTAAATTGTAAATATGTTCCTCCATTTATAATGGAATCAGATAGTTTTTTGGTGTGAAAATCCTAAATCATTTGAGTCCCACTGATTTAGTGGGTAGCCTTTGAGTTTTGCTTCATAAGAATCCTAAGTCATCCAGAGCGTTGTGATTTAGTGGGCAACCTGCGTGTTGCTTAGTTGAATCCTAAGTTGTCTAGTGGCGATAGCTTAGTGGGCAGAGTGAAATATGCTTAGGCTCTTCAAGCAATATAAGTATTGTTAAGTTGTGAGATTTATAGCTTATTCTCATCTTTTTGTATCTGGTTTTACTTTTGCTTGTGAAGACTAGTGGAAACGGTTTAAGATCCTATGATATAGATCGTGGTTTTACTCCCTTGAGCAAGGAGGTTTCCATGTAAACTACTGGTGTTGATATTCTGCCTTTATTTACAGTTGTTCATATTTTGAGTGTGTCAAAGGACCTGGTACATTAAATGATAATGGACATACCGATTCTAACAAGTGGTATCAGAGGGGGTACTCTCTAGCCGGTTAACACTAAGAGAGTGGTTCCTGCATTAGAATGGCTGCTCCACTTAACCTAGAAGAAGGGCAATCCTCAACTCGACCGCCGCGTTTCGATGGTCAATTTTATAGCTAGTGGAAAACAAGAATGCATGACTATCTTATGGCTGAGGATAGTGTATTTCATCTGCAGTTGAGGACGTGGTCCTTCCTAAGGCTAGCACTCTTTACATTTGTTTTAAACTGTTAAATGAGAACCATCCAGATTGTCACATATCAGACATCGGTCCTTCTGACCGTTGTCCCATCGCTTTTAATCCAAGCGATGTGTATATATAGGGACCTGACATACCCTTTTCAAGTTCTTTTTATAGTGCCTTTTCTACACTCCGTCTTATTACATTCCAACTTTGCTCTCTAAGTCTAACATCAAAACCCTCTCAATCTCTCTATCTCTCTCTAGCTTTTAAGTATTTTCTTTCAAACAATCATGTCTCAATTCTCTTCTTCTTCAAAGAAAATGCTAGATTCTATAAATGAGATAGATCTAATGGCTTCTTAAACCTATTCTGAAGCATCTTCTGTTGATAAAAGGGACAAGTCGTCTAAGAAAGTGAGTAAGGGTAAAAACAAAACTAAGACTTCTGCGGGAAAGAAGGTTATTATAAAAAAAAGGGAATTGAGGCTTCTGCAACTGATCTATTCATCATGTGAGTATATTGAAAGGAAAAGAAATCCAGTTAGTAAAGTTTCTCAATTTATCAAGGAGTAGTACCAATTGAAATATGAATTAGATGTGATGATTGTGCTAGTGAGAAACAAGGAGGCTGAAATTGCTTTGTTAAAAGAAGACCTGATCAAAGCGCAAATAGAGGGACCTGGTACTAAAGTTGTCCAGAAGCTAGAAAAGCAGAATGATGAGCTATTGGTAAAAATTGTTACTCTTCAAGAGAAGATGATCAAGGATAATGATGAAACAAACTCTAGAATCACCCTTGTTATCAACTCCCTCTCTCATCTACCTCCCTCATCATAGCCCTTTCTGTGCCTTTTCTTTGTGTGGACAGTATCCATGGTTCTCAGTTTTTAGTTTAACTTAAATGTATTGAATGTTGATTTGTTATGCTCATGAAATGGAATCCTTTTTTGTTGTGGCTAAATTTTGTTGCTTTTTGGCTTGTTAACTATGTTGGTGTTGTCCTTGACTGTGATCTTACTTATCAATCTTACTTCTTTTGTTGGTTTACTGCACTTAATTTTTATGATGCCAAAAGGGGGAATAAATTGGGGGTGTTCAAATGATGCTTAGATTGGTAAGAAGTACAAGGGGGAAGAAAGAAAAAATGACAGAGCGAAGGAAAACATGCAGGTACCAGTGTAACTAAAGGAAAACATGTATGTACTAGTGTAACTCAGGAGCAGGCATCAGTGTAACTCAAGGACCTTGTAAAGGTACCTGGTCCATGGTGTAGGAAACTAAAGAGTGTGTCTACTCGACAGGAGGAAGAAATGCAGGCATTGGTGTATGATTTGTCATCATCAAAAGGGGCAAAATGTTATATAGAGTTTTGATGATTTGACAAACTCAGAGACCTTGTGAGGAGACCTGATTCTTTGTGCAAATGTACATGCAACTGCCAGGCCTTTATCGACAAGGGGAAGAAACATGGAAGAAGATGTAGGAACTAGTGTACTGTTTGTCATCATCAAAAAGGGGGAAATTTTTATTTGTAGTTTTGATGATTTGACAAACTCAAGGACCTTATGAAGGATTCTAATTATTGGCTCAATATGTTTTTTGGATGCCAGCTGGAGAAAGTATAAAAAGTTGGTGCACTGTCTCCAACAGTTGGAGAAGTGGCAGACGCGTCAGAAATCTCAGCCAATAGGATTGTTTTACGTTTTGTGACCATTCTGCATAAGCAAAACATCCCTATATTCACAATTAGTTTTTGCAACTTGAAAACATCACAAGAACTCTTGCAAAGGCTTACGAAAGGAGTGAAGAAGCATCCTCAAGATCAACTCAAATTTGAAAGAGCTGGAAGCTTAGTTGTCTTAAGATTATTTCTTCTGCAGGTAAATTGTAAATTTGTTCCTCCATTTATAAAGGAATCAAATACTTGTTTGGTGTGAAAATCCTAAATCATTTGAGTCTAACTGATTTAGTGGGCAGCCATGAGTGTTGCTTAGTAAAAATCTTAAGTCATCCGCAGCATGGTGATTTAGTGGGTAACCTGCGTGTTGCTTAGTTGAATCCTTAGTTGTCTAGTGGTGATAGCTTAGTGGGCAGAGTGAAATCTACTTAGGATCTTCAAGCAATAGTTATTGCTTGGTTGTGATTAATAGCTTTTTCTCACTTTTTGTAACCGGTTTTACTTTTGCTTGTGAAGACTAGTGGAAACGATTTGAAATTCTGTGAGATAGGTTGTGGTTTTACTCCCTTGAGAAAGGAGGTTTCCACTTAAATTGCTGGTGTTGACATTCTGACTTTATTTACAGTTGTTCATATTTTGAGTGTGTCAAGGGACCTGGTCCATTGACTGATAGTGGACGTGCAGATTCTAACATAATTGTCTCCTCACCAGTAGTAACCAATTTTACCACCACTAAATATTTGATATGAAACTTGTCATTTACTTGTATATATACACATACTAGATCCAAACTTGAAACAAACTTTTACTTGTTATGTATTTCTGAAAAGCCTATTTCTTTTAGGTCGTCATGTATCTCACAATTGGTATTAAAATGACTCCTCTTGTTCAAGGTACTTGAATCTTGAGGAGGTTTTCAACTTCAATAGGTGTTTCAAAAGGTCATTGTGCAGTATACGTAGGAGAGAGCCAGAAGAAGACTTCACCGTGCCAGTATCATACTTGAGCCCAACTTTCATTTCAAGACGTGTTAGCTAAAGTAGAAGAAGAGTTTGGCTTTGATCATCTAACAATACCTTGCTAAGAGGATGTATTCATTGATTTCACTTCCCGCTTGAGGATATAATTAGTATTGTGGTAAAAAATTTTCTGCTCTGGTGAAATTTTGTATAATAATAGGCCTAGAAATGAGAAAGGGGACACTGTACAAAGGTCAATTTTGTTTTTAGTGTCAGCATCGTGCTATATGTACAAGTACTAAGAAATAATGTTAAGCACACTTAAAAATGAATTAGCTGAAACTATTATCTCTTTAAATTTCTTAATTTATATCTCTATTTTTCAGCATGAAATATTCTCCCTTCAAATATTTGTATCTTCTAGTAGCACAAGCTTCACTTTCCATTTGTAGATCTTTCGTCAACTTCATAGCCTCCAGGAGCAGAGTCAAGTAGGCCAAGAAAGTTCGGCGAAAAAAATACATTTCTTATACATGGTTAAATCTTTGTTATGTACATATAATAGATGAGGAACTCCCTTTGGCTTCTTTGTGTGTTTACTTTTTATATTTTGAACCCCTTTGAAGGAATATTGATTGTATCGAAGTGTTAACCTAATAAGGGAATACATGGGAGATATATATAGGAGATATAGGAAGGAGTACTAATCCTAATAGGACTAGGATTAAGGAGTACTAATCCTAATAGGACTAGGATTAAGGAGTACTAATCCTAATAGGACTAGGATTAGTACACAGTAAATACTAATATTATTTAATACTATTTATTTAATACTATCTGTTATTATCCCCACTCAAGCTGAGCTGAGCGAAAGCCAACGGAAGCTTGGAACTGAGGTAATCGTGCTGTCGGCTCGGGAGAGGCTTGGTGAGAATATCAGTCGGTTGTTCTTCAGTGGGTACATACTGCACAGTTATGGTGCCAGCCTGAACTTCATCGCGAACAAAGAGACAATCGGTATCAACATACTTCATTCTGGTGTGTAGGACGGAATTCTTGGCCACACAGATGGTTGATTTGTTGGTACAATAGTGAGCAGGAACAATGTCAGTGGCGTGTAGTTCGCGAAGAATATATGTGACCCACATGGTATCAGCAGCAAGAAGAGCAAGGGCGCAGTATTCAGCTTCAGTCGAGGACCGAGAGACCTTGGGTTGTTTTTTTGTACACCAGGAGATCAGGTTCGGCCCCAAAAAATGAGAAACCCCGATGTAGATTTTCTGTCATTTTTATCATTCGCCCAATCTGAATCTGAGAAACCCCGAAGCTCCAAGTCCCCGGGTCGAATGAGTAAACCACGACCAAGAGTGAAAAAATGTACCTGAGAATGCGTTTTAGACAATGGTAATCATGTTCACTTGGTTGATGCATGCGCTGAGCAACTCGGTTGATAGCAAACTGGATGTCAGGACGGGTAATGGCCAGATACTGTAGAGCCCCAATGAGGCTGCGAAAGTGGGTGATATCGGCAAAAGGGGTGTCGGCCCCATTCGTAGACGAAGAGACTGCCATCGGTGTTGGTTGACTGGTGCATTTTTCCAGTCCAGCTTTCTGCAACAGATCTCGAGCATATTTTGACTGATGAAGAAAAGAGCCGCTGCCTGTTCGAGAAACCTCCATTCCCAGAAAATAATGTAAAGGGCCAAGGTCCTTCATTTTGAAGGTAGTATGCATAGCTCGAGTGACATCCTGAATGAGAGCTGCAGTAGAGCCTGTAATAATGATATCATCTACATAGACAAGAAGAATGACTGTACCGTGTGCTGAATGTTGAGTAAACAGACTTGTGTCGTGTACGCAACATGTGAAGCCGAGTCCCTAGAGGAACGTTTTCAGACGTGTGTACCATGCACGGGGGGCTTGTTTGAGCCCATACAGAGACTTCTGGAGTTTGCAAACATGTTGAGGGAAGCGGGGATCAACATAGCCTGGTGGTTGCGTCATGTAGATAGTTTCATCGAGCATGCCATGAAGAAAAGCATTGGAAACATCCGACTGATTGATGAGCCAATTGTTGCACACAGCGAGTGACAGTACCAGGTGAATGGTTTCCTGCCGAATAACAGGACTGAATGTCTCGGAGTAATCAAGCCCATACTCCTGATTGTAGTCTTTAGCAACCAAACGAGCCTTGTACCTGGAAATACTGCCATCTGCATTGTGTTTAATTTTGTACACCCATTTACAGCCCACTGGGTGCCGCCCATGGGGCTTAGGTACAAGAACCCAAGTTTTCTGATCAGTCAAAGCCTTAAACTCGTCATCCATAGCATGACGCCAATAAGCATTTTTTGAGGCAACAGAGTAGGTTGTTGGTTCACTATCGGGAAGGGGGTGTATTTGGTAGTATGGTAGCCTGAAAAGTTTTGGTTTTAAAGATACCGGCTTTGCCACGGGTTAACATGGGATTAGTATTAGGGGGTGGCACGGGCGGTGGTGATTCGGGGTTGGCCGGGAAGGACCCAAAACGGATCGGGCTGGAGATGTTGTGGGTATGGGGTGGTTCAGGTTGGTTGTGAGTGTGGGTGGTGGTTGTAGGTGTATTGTGGGTGACGGTCGAAGGGGTGATGAGGGGTGGTTGGGTAGTGGGTGGAGGTGTGGGGGAATATTGTGAGGGACCCTGTGAGTATGTTGGAAAAAGGGGAAGGACGCCAATGAATGATGTATTTGTGGAGGAGGAAATAGACTCGTAGAGAAACTCATTTTCGACAAATTTGACATGACGAGATATGTAGACTTTATGAGTTTGTGGGTCAAGACAGCGATAACCCTTGGAGATAGGATGATAGTCCAAAAAATACAAGGACGGGATCGGGATTGTAATTTGTGAGTAATATGAGGGCGTAGCCAAGGGTAGGCAAGACACCCAAAGACGCGGAGGTTGGTATAATTAAGAAGTTCTTTGTAAAGGAGTTGATAGGGTGATTTGTTGGAGAGGGTGTGACTGGGCGTTCTGTTAATGAGGTAGTTTGCGGTGGCTAGAGCTTCTACCCAAAAGGAGATAGGGAGATGAGATTGATGTAGAAGAGTAACCACCATTTCAATGAGATGGCGATGCTTACGCTCAGCCACCCCATTCTGTTCGGGATTGTATGGACAGGAGGTTTGATGTATAATTCCGAGGGATTGCAGAAACTGGCCAAAGATGTTATTTACATATTCCTTTCCATTGTCACTTCGAAAAAGTTTAACATGAGAATTGAATTGTGTTTTGACCATTTTTTCAAAAGTGACAAAGGTGGTGTATGCCTGTTATTTGTGTTTTAGTGGGTACAACCAAGTGTATTTTGTAAAATCATCCACAAAACAAATATAATAGTGAAAACCAACAAATGAAAGAACAGCAGTAGGACCCCATAGGTCAGAATGAATAAGTTGAAAAGGTGCAGTTGTACGCTTCTCTAAAATAAAGTAAAAGGTAATTTATGAGATTTAGCAATTGAACAGGAGTCACAATTGTTTACATGAATGGAAGAAAAACCTAATTGAGACATTAAAGAATTTATTATTTGAGTAGACGGGTGACCCAGACGACTGTGCCACAACAGACTGTGGCCATCAGCCGAAAGAGCCACCGGAACCACAGGAACGCTTTCTGAAACTGGGTGGGCAGACGAACTTGTGCCAGGAAGAACGTACAGACTATGCTCACAGGGGCCCTGAAAAATCACCCTCTTGGTAGTATTGTCTAGGATCTGAAAATCATTAGAGGTGAACAAGAGTGAGCAATTATTGTCTTTTGTGAATTGGTGAACTGAAAGGAGATTGGTTTTAATAGAAGGGACGAGGGTAAGGTTACCTAGGTGAAAGATAGCGGTGGGGGTATTAATGGTACCCGTGCCAGTGTGAGAAATATTAAGGGACTCACCGTTGCCAACATTAATATCATTGGAGCCATGATATTGATTTGGAGCATTAAGCTTGGATAGATCAGAAGTAACATGTATGTTGGCCCCAGTATCCAACAGCCATTCAGAGGAAGGGCCAGCTTGAGATGCATAATTGACACGGTTATCACTATTTCGACTCTCCTCATACCGAAACCAGCAACGAACAGCGGTGTGTCCTCTTTTCTGAAAAATTTCACACGTTGGACGATCCCCCTCGTAAGTGCCCTGCCCGCCGCTGGAAGATGACTGCCCGCCGCTGTCGAAGGAGTGCAGGCTGTTGTTGCTGCCGTGCTGCTGACCGTCGTACGGCGGACGACTGCCCTGCCGACCGCCGCGCCCGCGGCCTTCGCTGTTTCTGTCGTTGCCGCCGCGGCTCCCCTGTCGGCCGCCACCACGCCCCCCACGATAGTTTTGGCTTGGGGTGAGGGCGGTGGCCGGCTCCATAACAGCGACTTCTCGGAGAAGAAGTTTGCTCTCTAGATCCACGTTGATTTCTTCACTTTTTAGCCATGAGGAGAGAGTAGCCAGGTCAACGGGTGTTGGATTGATGCGAACCGCCTGTTTAATGGAGGAGTAAGATGATGGGAGCCCCCGAACGATGCACATGACGAGATCTTTTTCGGGAATGATTTCATTCACGGTGTCGAGGGCTGTGATGATGGTGGAGACCTCATCTAAATACTCCGCCATAGTTTTCGTGCCTTTGGTAATTGTGTGGATACGATCACGCAATTGAAAAATATGAGAGTGGGAAATTGATGCATAGCGTGTTGCGAGGGTCGTCCACAGGGCTGAAGCAGTTGTGTAGGATCGGACGTGTTTCTGAACCGTGGGAGAGATGACCGCAATCAAACATGATCGGATCTGGCCATCCACGGCTTTCCAGACGGCATGGGTAGGATTGGTTTTTTCTGATTTGTCCATGGCGGTGATGACTGCCAGCGGCGGTTATGTGCTTCCATCAACGTATTTGAGAAGGTAATTGGCCTCAAGGGCTGTAAGAACAGTGATTTTCCATGTAAGGTAATTTATGTCTGATAATTTTTCGGGAATCAGGGCATGAAGATGCCTGAGAAGGAGTTTAACGCCAGAAGGAAGTGAATCGAGAGGATCCACCTCGGTTGTCATGGCTGCCGCCACCCAAGAGAAGAGAGGGAACGATCGGTGCCCTAAAGAGAGAAAAAAAACCTAGAGAAAAGAAGATCTAGGTTTTCTGGCTCTTGATACCATGAAGGAATATTGATTGTATTGAAGTGTTAACCTAATAAGGGAATACATGGGAGATATATATAGGAGATATAGGAAGGAGTACTAATCCTAATAGGACTAGGATTAAAGAGTACTAATCCTAATAGGACTAGGATTAGTACATAGTAAATACTAATATTATTTAATACTATTTATTTAATACTATCTGTTATTACCCTTCAGTAAAAATCCCGGCTTCACCATATTGAAGACAATAATAGTTAGCTAGTAATTAGTCAAGTAGCAGTTGGCTGATGTAGCATAATAGTTGGTTAGAAGTATAAGTTAGTTATAACAGATTGTGGTAGCTAAGTCATGCAGATATACAGGTGTATGAAGTGACGTATATATCTTAGATAATGCTCTGATAGAGATCAATTCAATACAAAATACATTTTATTTTACACTGTTGGTTTTCCTTTTCCTCTCACCGTAAGTCTCAGAATCTCTCTCCATTAGGAGTTATCACACCACTGGTAGCCTCTTCTCGTTCATTCTTTTCATCAAGGTAGTAAACGATGGACTTCGAATTCTAAAATAAACTCATAAAGCTTTTTATTCATGCATTTGATCATACCAAATAGCAACAAACTTTAGTGTTCCATAGGATAAACTTCAGATGTCAAGAAAACCACGTCCAAAACACAAAGTCAGAGAAGTTCCATAATTTTTACAACTACATAGATTATAGTGCTGCTTAACCCCTTGCATTCAACATATTTTTGGATCTTCATCCATGACTTAGATATCATCTCTATTAGCTTGGCCAGTCCAATATGCATCGTACTAACAAGTGTTCAAATACTATGTCTAGAAATTTATACCTTCATTATTGTTGTATCCTTCATTCTACTTCAATTGGCTCGGGAAGAGGAGTGGAAACAAAGGATCAACCGCCCTTTTCAGTGTTCAAAATTTCCAAGTTCTTTTCGTGTAATACATAGTAATTATTTGCAAACTGAAAAATGCGAATGGAATTTGCTGGAAAATTCTCGAAAGAGAAGATTAACAATAAGGAAACCAGATCATCTTAATTGAAATTAGTCTATTGCAGAAGTTCATGTTGGGAAAGACAAGGCACTAACAAAGAATGTCTGACAGGATAACAGCGGAAGAATACCCAAGTCTATACTTTCCCTTCTCGATTTGAACCAAGAGAAGACAAACAACCACAAGCAATATGATAGTAAGGCAGCAAGTAATTCTACCAAACAAATATAACAAGGCAATAATAAACCAATCACACAAGACACCAAGATTTACGTGGAAAACCCTTTGATGTGAAGAGTAAAAAACCACGGGACCAAAAACTCCACTATAATCACCAAGAGTTACAATATTGTTCTCCAAAATTGGCCACAAAACAAGTGCCAAACAACGAGCAACAACAAAATAAGATTGCACCAAATCTAGAGAATTAAAGGAGCAAAATCACCAATTTCGCAGCTACTGTTCACGACAAAAAAACTGAAGTTGCAGACCACCAAATCCAACTCTGTCAGTTCCTAATCAAAGATTGAGATGAAGATAATATGATGTCCAAAAATCAGCTCAATCGGACAAGAAACTAAGCGGGAATCACAATTTGAAGTTGGTTGTTAGGGCTGAATTTTGACTGCGAAAAACTGCTCTTTTTCTCTCTTTTTGGCTGCTGAAAAAAACTCCGTGTCTTTGAAAATAAGACCTAAATAGGCTTATATTTGCCTCATAAGAACGGTCCTATGGGCAAAAATGGATTGGTCCAAATTGGGCTTTTATTTATCCACATAGGAAGGGAAAAAAGACCCATAACCCAACAATTCTCCCCCTCACGACTATGTGGAGGAGACCGCCATCCCGGCGACCATGCAACAATCTTCAAACTTCCCTCTTGGCAAAGCTTTAGTCATCATATCGGAACCATTGTCATTTGTATGAATCTTTTCAAGCTCAAGCAACTTAGAATCCAACACATCTCGAATCCAATGGTATCTCACATCAATGTGTTTAGACCGACCTTGGAACGTAGAATTCTTGCCAAGATGTATAGCACTTTGAATGTCACAATAAAGCATATACCTCTCTTGAGCACAACCAAGTTCTCCCAAGAATCTCTTCATCCGAAGCAATTCTTTACAAGCTTCAACAACAGCAATAAGCTCACCTTTTGTAGTAGATAGAGCAACACATTTTTGCAACCAAGACACAACTCCCCCTGCAAAAGTAACCAAGTACCCTGAAGTAGACTTGCGAGTATCAACATCACCAGCCATGTCTGAATCAGTATAACCACAAATAATAGGCTTCCCTGTACCAAAACACAAAGTCAGACTAGTAGTGCCACAGAGATATATCATAACCCACTTCACAGCATTCCAATGTTCTCTTCCCGGATTAGAAAGAAAACGGCTAACAACTCCAACAGCGTGAGCAATATCCGGTCTTGTACAAACCGTCGCATACATCAAACTACCAACAGCTGAAGCATAAGGAACTTTCTTCATATCTTCCTTCTCATCATCACTAGAAGGACACTGTTTCCTGCTCAATTTGAAGTGCATAGCTAAAGGTGTACTGACAACCTTAGCTTTGTCCATGCTGAATCTACGAAGTACTTTATGAATGTACTTCTCTTGTGATAATACCAATTTGTTGGCCTTTCTATCACGGACAATCTGCATGCCAAGAATCTGCCTTGCTGGTCCTAAGTCTTTCATAGCAAAAGACTTACTCAACTCTTGCTTCAACTTCTGAATCCTGCAAGTATTATGACCAACAACAAGCATGTCATCAACATAAAGCAACACAATAATAAAGTCACCATCAGAGAATTTTTGCACAAAAACACAATGGTCTGAGGAAGTCTTCTTGAAGCCCTGCTGACTCATAAAAGAACCAAACTTCCTGTACCACTACCTGGGAGCTTGTTTCAAACCATACAAGCTCTTCTTTAATTTGCAAACATAATTCTCTTTACCCTTGACTTCAAAACCTTCCGGTTGCTCCATATAAATTTCTTCATCTAAGTCACCATGGAGGAAAGCAGTTTTAACATCCATTTGCTCAACCTCTAAATCTAGACTTGCAGCCAAGCCTAGAACCACACGAATGGATGACATCTTCACAACTGGAGAGAATATCTCATCAAAATCAACTCCCTTTTTCTGATAAAATCCCTTGACAACTAATCTAGCTTTGTACCGTGGAACTGGATTACCATCTTCGTGTTTCACCCAAAAAACCCACCTATTTTTCAAAGCTTTTCTGTCTTTAGGTAACTTAACCAAATCAAAGGTATGATTATCATGCAAGGATTTAATCTCATCTTCCATAGCATCAAACCACCTTTCTTTTTCTTTACTTTCCATGGCCTCATCAAGACCCTCAAGTTCTCCCCCGTCAGTCAAGAGTACATACTCATTGGGAGAATAACGAGATGAAGGAATTCTCTCTCTACTAGATCGTCTAAGAGAACTCTCTGGAGAATCTATAATTGGTTGTTGGACAACCACATCATCTTGCACTGGAGCATCAACAACATCATGCCGGTCATTCTGAACATGATCACCATCTTCATTATCAACTTGATTTTTATCATTATGAAGATTTTCTTCCGGTGCAATAGTCAAAGGAACTGGATCAACATCAACTAAGCTCTCACTACTCTGAAAATCAGCCTTGTCAACTTTGTCAAAATCTTCAATTGTTTGGTCTTCAAAGAACACAACATCACGGCTTCTAACAAGTTTCTTCTCAACAGGATCATAGAAACGATAGCCAAATTCATCTTGAGCATAACCAATGAAGATACACTGCCTAGTTTTAACATCCAACTTTGACCTTTCATCCTTAGGAACATGTACAAAGGCTTTACACCCAAAGACTCTAAGATGATCATAAGAAAAATTCTTACCAGTCCAAACTCTGTTAGGGACATCACCATCTAAAGCAACAGCAGGAGATAAATTGATAACATAAGCAGCAGTATTAAGTGCTTCGGCCCAAAAGGAATCTGACAACTTAGCATCTGAAAGCATACATCTAACCCTCTCAACTAGAGTTCTGTTCATCCTCTCTGCTAAATCATTTAACTGAGGAGTCTTTGGAGGAGTTTTCTGATGCCTAATACCCTGCTCTCTGGAATATCTATCAAAAGGACCAATATACTCACCACCATTATCTAAGCGGATGCATTTCAATATCTTCCCTGTTTGTCTTTCAACCAAGGCCTGAAAAATCTTGAACACATCAAGTACTTGATCCTTGGACTTCAAAGGAAATACCCAGAGTCTGCGAGAATGATCATCAATAAAAGTCACAAAGTAAAGTGCACCACCATGAGGTTTTACCTTAAAAGGACCACACAAATCAGAATGTACCAACTCTAGCAAATCAAGCTTTCTTGAAGGCGGATGACTCTGAAAAGAAACTCTTTTCTGTTTACCGGCTAAGCAATGAACACATTTCTTCAACTTTGCTTGTTTCACTCCAGAAAGCAAATTTTTCTTAGCCAAACTATCAATCCCCTTCTCGCTCATATGACTCAGCCTTCTATGCCATAACTCTGATGAAGTATCATTCTCCACCAAATTTACTGAGTCTCTGTACTTGGAGCCCTGAAATACATACAAGTTAGACAACTTGTCACCACGGGCCACAACCATCAAACCTCTAGTAAGCTTCCACTGGCCAACACCAAGTGTATTAACAAAACCCTCATCATCAAGATATCCCACAGAAATCAAATTCAAGCGAACATCTGGAGCATGCTTGACATTATTGAGAACTAGTTTGGAACCATTGTTACTTTCCAAACAAACTGTCCCAATGCCAATAACTTCAACTTCATGATTATTGCCCATTTTCAACGTTCCAAAATTACTTGGGGTATAAGAAGAAAATAATTCCTTCTTTGCCGTGACATGAGAAGTAGCACCAGAATCCACAAACCAGCTAGACTCATCACGAACAAGATTAATGGCATTTGCATCACAAGAAACAAGAAGATCATTATTAGCAACAACAACAACACGATTTTCATTATCGCCTTCTCTCTTTTGTTGTCTCATATCTCTCTTGTGCTTGTAACAATATTTCATGATATGCCCATTCTTGTGGCAATAGTCACATGTAATATTCTTGTATTTAGACTTTGACTTGCTTATACTTTTACCTCTATCATTCTGACCTCTGGACTTGTTTCTCCCCCTATCTTCAGTAACCAAAACATCGGAGTGTGAAGCTGAAGAAGATGAGACTTGAGATCTTCTTCTCATTTCTTCATTCAAGATACCATTCTTAGTATATTACATGGTTACAACACCACTGGGAGCAGAATTAGTCAAAGAAACTCTAAGAGTCTCCCAAGAGTCTAGCAGAGTATTAAGAAGCCAAAGTCCCTGTATCTCATCATCCAACTTTACACCCATTCCGGACAGCTGGTCAAGAACGCCCTGAAAATCATTAATATGATCAGAAATAGGAGTACCCTCTTTAAACCTAATATTCATTAATTGTTTCAATAGGAACAACTTGTTGTTACCAGTCTTCGAAGCATAAAGTGTCTCGAGCTTGTCCCACAAACTTTTGGCATGTGTCTCATTCACAATATGATTTATAACATTATCTTCAACCCATTGTCTAATATAGCCACAAACCTGTAGATGCTCAAATTCTCATTCTTCATCATTCAAAGGCTGAGGCTTATTAGAAGCAAACACGGGTAAATGCATCTTCTTGACAAATAGAAGATCTTTCACCTTGTCTTTCCAAATATGATAGTTACTACCAGTTAAACACACCATTTTGCTCATATTTGCATCCATCATTCTAAACGATAATCAACAATAACCAATGCTCTGATATTACTTTGATGGGAAAGACAAGACACTAACAAAGAATGTCTGACAGGAAAACAACAGAAGAATACCCAAGTCTATACTTTCCCTTCTCGATTTGAACCAAGAGAAGACAAAAAACCACAAGCAATATGATAGTAAGGCAGCAAGTAATTCAACCAAACAAATATAACAAGGCAATAATAAACCAATCACACAAGACACCGAGATTTACGTGAAAAACCCTTCGATGTGAAGAGTAAAAAACCACGGGACCAAAAACTCCACTATAATCACCAAGAGTTACAATATTGTTCTCCAAAATTGTCCACAAAACAAGTGCCAAACAACGAGCAACAACAAAATAAGATTACACCAAATCTAGAGAATTAAAGGAGAAAAATCATCAATTTCGCAGCTACTGTTCACAACAGCAAAACTGAAGCTGCAGACCACCAAATCCAACTCTGTCAGTTCCTAATCAAAGATTGTGATGAAGATAATATGCTGTCCAAAAATCAGCTCAATCGGACAAGAAACGAAGCGGGAATCGCAATTTGAAGTTGGTTGTTAGGGCTAAATTTTGACTGCGAAAAACTGCTCTTTTTCTCTCTTTTTGGCTGCTGAAAAAAACTCTGTGTCTTTGAAAATAAGACCTAAATAGGCTTATATTTGCCTCATAAGAATGGGCCTATTGGAAAAAGTGGATTGGTCCAAATTGGACTTTTATTTATCCACATAGGAAGGGAAAAAAGACCCATAATCCAACAGCACAAACCCGGTGCATGCTTTTGCACTGAAGTCAATAATGGAGCAAAATTCACTTTTATCTAATTTGGCAAAATGATCTAATGAAACTTTTGGCATAACTTTCTTTTGTAATATCACCTTAACAACTAACTGAGAAATCGACAAGCTAGATATAGATATTTCTGGTGCAAGACCATTAAAAAGACAATGAAAAAGTAAATAAAATTTTCCAAAATAATCATGGAATAGAACAAGTTGGAGTCAAGTATATGGAGTTTTTGATTAATACATTTTTTTAAAAAATTCTGTACACTTGTTGAGTATCCACTACAAAACTTATCACATTTAGCTTAACAAACTAGTAATTGCAGGTTTCTTTGTTCTTGAACATATAAAGCTGATCCACATTGGCTAGAATCAACAGATACGAGCAAAGCACTCTAAAGATCAGCACCTACACCTCTTTCGATGAGTGATACGATGTAGTTCATGAATAAGGCATCACATGGTAATGTAATAGGGCCATCACATGGAAGTCCAAACTCTTGTTCAGACATGTGCAATAGTTGTCTAATTACCTCGTGTTGAAGATAAGCTAACGGAACCACAAATTGCTTTTGATCAGGTTTATATACCACAAAATTTCCTTTAGAAACTATAGTAGATGATGTGCTACAACTCTCTAAATCATTGGAATTAGACCTTGGAAAAGAACTTCTCTTCCTCTGTTTAGCTGCAAACTTCTGCCATTTCCTTGCCATCTTGATGAGTTTCTTAGCACTGATCATATTCATTTTCTTCGAAATATAGGAAAGAAATTTTTTTGATGATCTTTAAAAAGATTTGATTTAGAGCTATCTGCTTGATGATGAAAATGCCTCATGCAATCAGATTATTAATAATTGAGGCTAGAGTTGAGTTTGAATAAGTATGCTAGACAGGATCATGTGCTGCTGTTTAATATGGGACCTTGGGGATTCAGGATATAGTTGTCTAGTTTTCAAGTGGTATTTTTTTTCAGCTAAAATTCTAAGTGCTTGTCAAAGATTTTAGAAGGCAATACCATGTGACACTTCATGTAGTGTTGTCTTTCTACTACTTGTGCTTGACTTGAAGGAAATTTACAACTTGTTTAATATTGTTTTGTATACACTTGACGGAAATCTTCTGAGATCAACTGGTAGGCTGGTGTACAGCATTGTTAATTTCCGATAGATTAGTCAGAAGCTAGCATTAGGGCCTGTCACTAAGCATATATCAGAATAACAACTTTAGGTCTAGGCTTGTGGTATTGTCTTTATTTTCAGAATAACAACTTTAGGTCCACAGCTCAAAACAATAAGGGGTATTGATGTTTGGCTGAATGGTAGCCGATAGGGCCTGTATATTTAACAATATGGTCTAAATTTATAAATACTTGACAATTAGGAGGCATATAATTTCTCTTTACACTAAACATTGAGAGAGTTATGAACTCACTCTTGTACACACTCAAGTTTTCTTGTTTTCGAGTTGCTTGAATTTCTTCCTGTTGTTCCTCTATTGCTAGGATTTTTTCATCCGAGTTACTCGTATGATTCAATCTAATCGAGTCCTCAAGAAGTCTTGAATACTGGGAGATTTCCAAAGGGTCATTTTACTGCCTTTTCATTGGAAAAAAGTTGTAAGGCGTACAATTTCGACAGGTTTCCAATGAAAAGGCAGTAAGAAGAGTACAATTTCAACGATTTTCAATGAAAAGGCCATCAGAAATTTGTGCATTACAAGTAGTGATAGTTATCAATGCAACATGATGTTTATTACTGAGATTTATCATCAGACAAAGAGGATAATGTAATACTAGAGACTGATCTCTCTAAAAAGAAAAATGCATTTTTTTGTCATTCGATTAGTGCAATTTTCAACAGATGCAGATGCAGGTGCAAGTTATAAGTTTTTTCCAAATCTGATCAAAGTAAAAAAGAAAAAATAATATCGTCACCAAGAATTCTTCAATGGCTTCATCAGCAATGCTGAAAGGTACATCTCGTTTAGCTCGGGACCTCTATCAAACTTTCTTCCCACGATCCACTTCACCTTGTTGAAACCAATACTCTCGATAAGTGGTGCATACACTTTCTCAAATTGATCGCCAACACAGAAGAAATGGTCAAGCCAAAACAGACCACCAGGCCTTAACACCCTATAAATATCGAAAAGCAAGAAGTGGAGAAGTGTTTCTGGTATCCAGTTACTCAACACATGCATTGAGTGTACAATATCCAACGTGTTGTCGAAAAAGGGAAGTCTTTGAGAGATACTAACATACAAAGGTATGACTCCTCTTGAAGCTATAAAACTATTAAACGGACCGTTAAGGTTCATTGAAGTCGTTAGAATCGTTACATTCCTTTCTCTCATTCTTACAGCAAATGTAGCCACACCACCTCCAATATCGAGCCCAATTCTAATTGTTCCAGCCTTCTTTACTGCTAACACTTCATCGATAGAGAAGTCAAGACCAGCACCATTTTTTGCTGTCCAACGCCTTCTCTCTCTGCCATTGAGATCAAAACAATCTTTGCAATCATCAAATGCTCTCTGATTCCTAGCACGATTGACCAGACAATCATAATTTTTGCAAGTAAACGCAGTCCATACAACAGAAAAATCCGATGGTGTTCTCCATTGACTCTCAGGAAAAGGATAAGGCTCAACATATTCTTGTGGAGCAGCTGGATGACATCTACGTCGAGGAAGTGGCTCACAACCTTTAAGAAGCAACTTTTGTGCTAAAAGTTCATCATCAGGGCAAGAACCATTGACATTATACGACATGTAACGATCAAGTAAATCTCGAAACAGAGTACATGGACGTCCAATCGGAGGCATGATTTCATCAGAATTGAAGTTTTTGTTGAATCCACGCGGGAGTTTTTGTGGTGATGTGAAAGCTAGGAACTCAGATGGAAGATTTTCATCAGTTTGTGTGTTATCAGAAGATTCTTGAATAGCTTCATATTTAGGTGTTGGCTTAGCCAAAACAGTGGAAGGAGTATTTGTTTGTTGGTTAAATGTACAAGAGGAGTCAAAAGATGTAGAAATGAAAAATGTCAAGAGATTTGAGGATGCAAGAAGGAAAGCAAAGAACAAATAAGATGTAAGAAATTTGGGATTTTGAGTTGAATCCATTGAGGTTTCTGTGTCTGATTAACATTGAATTCTCTGTATGCTAGTTTGTTATAAATCGAGCAACATGATCAGTAAGGATTCATATGGTCAACGCATGTAATAAATGCCTAGTGTGATTAGCACCACAAGATTTAGAATCTTGAATATCTTCATATTTAATTTAGAATTGTTTTCTAAGTTTGGGTGCTAAGTCAATAGTCTGGTCAACGGACCGGAACCGGATCACTGGACCGGAATGAACCGGTATCGGACCGGACCGGAATCCGTTGACCGAAATTTTGACCGGTACCGGGATGAACCGGACCGGAATTACCGGGATGGTTCATCGGTTCCGTCCCGTTCCACTATATACCGGGACAGAACCGGAACGGACCGGGATGGAACGGGACGAGATTAACGGGACGATATTTTTTAAATTACGAAAATATAATTTTTTTTTATTTTTTAAGTATAAATTAATAGTTTTTAAATTTATACTATAATTTTTAACTTAAGTTTATTTTAAAGATATTTTATTAATTTTTTTTATTATTGTTAAGTTTGCAAGTCATCTAATAAAGTTTTCAAAATTTAAATCTTTTGAAGTTTATACTTTATAAGTTATTACTTATATTCATTAATATTTATTTTATAAGTTATATTTATAACTTGTATCTTGTAAATATTAAATAAATAAAATTTGTAATTTTAAAAAAGTAAATTAAAATAAGGATAAAAAAATTAAAAAATTAAAAAATATCAATTTAATTTATTTAAATTTGTAACAAATTACAATTTCAATTTACAACTATTAGTAGAGTACATAGCTTACGCAGCCACCTTCTAGGAAGGGTTTTGTTTCAACTATGTCTCGAATGTAATACTAATAGTTGTATAGTCCCGTAAATCCTCTTTCTAACTCAGCTAGGGATTGATTGTGATCAACTTCTGGTCTTGGTAAAGCTCGTTGACGATCTTGAATTTCGATGTCATCATCACTACCACATCCAATAGCTGAATCTATGAAAAGTTCAAATTGACTATCTAACTTTGGAAGTCCTTGATTTCTACGCTCAACATTTATCCAGTCTCTAAATAACACTGATATCTCCAGGTTGTCTTGTGCTAACGAATATCTGTGGTCTCCAATTTGAAATCTTGCCGCGCTGAAAGCTGCCTCCGAAGCTACTGATGATCCTTGAATTGCAAGCACATCCTTCACCATCCTACTAAGTTTTGGATATTGAGCTCCAAGATTTCTCCACCAGTTCAATAGTTCCGGTATACCATTATCGTTTGTAATATCATTTGTACCCTGTTCAAGATATTAAACAAATTCACATTTATTAGAAGAGTCAAGGCCAAGTTTATGTTTCACTCGCCCATGAGCACCTACTTGATTCGTAGACGTTTGAGGATTTTCAACATTATCTAAGAATGAATATTTATCATACATTTCTTTTGCAAAGTATTTTATACTATTTTGACATGTTACCAAATCAGGTTCTTCTTCAGGTTGAATATCTAAATTCTGATAAATGCATTCAACTAAAGCTTTTGCACCATATTTTTTATATTCGGGGTTGAAAAGAAGTGTAGTTAAATAAATTTGAGGAATAGGAAAACATATTTTTTAAATTTTGTAATCATAACTTCAATAGCGGAGGTGAATAAAGTATTTGTTTTATATTCAGAAAAAATAGATGAAATCTCACATATGTGTATTAAAATTTCAGAAATAGTAGGATAATATATTTCAAAAAAAATTTTAGTAGCATCATAAAATGATTTCAAAAATATTCTAAGTTCATTTACTTCATCCCAATCACTATCATTAATTTTAAATTCAGGATAAGCATTATGATTATTAAATAGCGTAGTAATAGGTTGCCTATATGCATAAGCAACTTCAAGCATATCATAAAAGGAATTCCATCTAGTTTTTACATGCTTCGGAACTTTTCTAAACGGAAGTTTAAATGCATTACAAAGTTCTTTAAATTGATTAATTCTACTACTACTATTCATATGAAAAATGTAAAAACAAGCATTATCAATTTTATCACAACTATTTTCAAATAATTTCACACCGTCACTAACAACCAAATTTAATATATGCGCGGCACATCTAACATGAAAAGCATATTTACTAATAGGACAAAGTCTAGGTTCTAGTAAATTAATAGCATTTAAATTAGCAGAGGCATTATCTAAAGTAATACTAACGACTTTATCACAAAGACCAAAAAAATCTAAAATTTCCAACACAGTAGTAGCAATATAAATTTCGGTTTTTTTCTTTTGACAAATTTTATAACCAATAATTCTTTTTTGTAAATTCCAATTATAATCGATCCAATACTCAGTAACAGTTAAATAATCAAAACCATTAGGACTACGACCCATATCAGTAGTAATAGCAACTCTACAATCCATTAGTTCAAAATAGGCACGTAAATATTGACAATGTTTTTCTTGAAATTCGAAAATATCTCTTTTTACCATGCTTCTTGATAAACCTTGAAAACTAGGATTATATGTTTCACGAATATAAGCAATAAAACCCGGATGTTCTCCAAAACTAAAAGGTAAACCACAAACAACAACCATTTTAGCAAAGTTTTCACGATCACGATCCTTGTTA